GTTCTCAACACGTGGGTCAAGAGCCCTTTGTGAGTCGCATATCAGATATCCTGCAAATCAGATATTTACATTGTGATTGATAACAGTAGCAAAATTACAGTTATGAAGTAGTAATGAAAAAATGTTATGGTTGGAGGTCACCACAACACGGGGAACTGTATTAAAGGATCACAGCATTAGAAAGGTCGAGAACCACCGCTCTAGAACACACAACTGTGTGAGGAGCCATAGGGAAAGCTGGGCACGGGAGAACTTTTTGAAATCACAGCTCTGATTGGAGGGCATTAAATTATAGACCCTTGTAATGACCCTCCAGAATGTTGGTTCAGGTGACTCCACCCACTGTGTGATTCCATTGGTCACTTCCTCTCTGAGGAAGAAGACACAGGGAGGCGCCACACTACATCCTCCATCCCTTCCTTTCTGCTCACAGAATCCCACACTGGTTATGGTATTATGGAGTCCAACTGAGAATACAATTTCTGACCTGGCTTTTATCAGGGTTAGCCAAACTCAAAACAACCAGAAGTTGATGAGAGCTTCCGTGGTAGCTAACAGAAAGGGCAGAGTCACCTGGAAAGCTCTCTCATCTGCTATCCTTGACCTAGCTTGACTAGGATCAAGGCATGCCCTTGGAGCCCTGACCACAATCCTCGACAATTGAAAATGGAGACAGAAAACGTAAGACGCTTATAACAGTAATGATACTATGGAGTCAGGTCCCTAACCTGGACTCCCCTCCTCCAGAGCTCTTTCGGGGGGGGGGGACCTCTGCATTTGCTTCACTCTAGTTGAGTGCAATGACTAATGACTATTTACTTGCAAGTGAAATTCATAATGCAGGCAGCCCCTTGGGGTAGATTAGCTGAAGGTCAGTGAGTGCAGTAGCAAAATCTATCACTTGAAATAAAACTACCATCAGAGAAAAGTTTGAAAACTTTAGTACAATTATTTTCTAAAGTTCCGTGTGCAGTGGTCCAAGCCAACTATGACTAACAATGAAAATAGCAAATATTTGTTAAATAGGTATTATATTTCCTAAGATCAGCTAGTGTAAGGAGTACGGCTTTTTCCGCCAGCCGCCGCGCCAGCCCCAAATAATACACAGAGACTCTGTATTTGATACAATGCTATTGGCCAGGTGTTAGTTTCTTATTGGCTAGCTCTGTCTTAATTATTAACCCATTTTTATGTATTTTCACGTGGTCTTACCGAGAGCGGAGGAATGGCAGTTCTGTTCTCTCCAGTCTCTCCATCTTGACTCCTCCTTACTACTTCCTCTTTCTTCCTTGTCTCCTAGTCCCTCCTATCTTCCTTTCCTATTGGCCAACAGTGCTTTATTCATTAACCAGTATGAGAAACATATACAGAATGACCTCTCCCATCAAGCTAGATATTTAACACACATCTTTTTCATGTGCTCACTTGTTGCTCGGCCTGGTGTATCATTAGAACAGACTAAGACTGCAGGGGAGGACAGTTTAACTCACTGTTTAAAGGTTTAAGTTTTAGCTGTCAACTCTTAGGTCTTAACAGTTAAGACTTAGCAGTATATGGATCAGTCACTCAGTCTAATTGAGATCAGAGCCCAAAGTCTGGGCAAACATACAGTAAAAGGCAATATAACATCAAGAATTTGTTGTGATTTGTGTGAAACCATTTTGCACTTAAATTTTCAAGAAAACAAAACTGGAGCTAAAGAGATGGCTTGGCAGTTAAGAACACTGGCTGCTCTTGCAGAGGACCTGAGTTTGGTACTTAGCACCACGAGGGCATCAGGCACATGTGGTGTGCATGCATACATGCCAGGCAAACACACACACACACACACACACACACACACACACACACAACATAAAGACATGTCTAAAACAAAAAATTAAAAGGAAACAAAAAGTTGAATCCATGGAATAAGGTTTTTAATGTATAAATAAATAATTTAAATATAAAGATGCATGCATGAACTCGCTATTATTTTTGCAAGTTTTCTATTAAGTCTAAAAGTCACAGGTTGCTCAAGCTAAATTAATTAATTTTGCCCAAGCATAGTGTAATACACCTTTAATCCCAGCACTTGGGGACAGGCAAGTGGATCTTTGTGAGTTCAAGGCCACCCTGGACTACTTAGTGAGTTCCAGGACAACCAGGGCAACATAGAGAGAGCCTTCTCTGTCTCAAATAAAACTGGCCAATTTTATATTTCTAAAAAATTTTAAATATAACTTTAAAATGTGTATTAAAATTAAAACTGAAAGGGGATACTGAAGAAATGGTACAGAATAAAGATCACTTGCTCTGCCAAGCCAGGTTTAGTTCCCAGCACCCACAGGACAGATCACAACCATCTGTAACTTGAGTTCCAGGAAATCCAATGCCCTCTTCTGGCCTTCCCAGGCAACAACCAGGCACACAGGTGGTACACAGACATCATACATGCAGAAAAAAAAACTTATAAAATAATAGTAATAAAATGAAAAAAATAAATAAATAAAAATAGGTCTGTACAATGGCTTAGCAAGTAAAAACACCTGCCATCCAAACCTGATGACCAGTGTTCAGTCCCCAGAATTCACAAAAGGTAGAAAGAGAGAAACAGCTCCATAAAATTGTCATCTGGCCTCCTCATGCACACCATGGAAAGTATGTACACACACACAATAATAGATTAAAAATTGAAACTACAAGAACTTTGCTTATGGACAAAAATATAAACATTGTCCAATAAAGTAATATGTTGCAAAATTGATAAAGGATACAAGAATACAAAAAATTTTATCATTGTCCAAATATATGAATTGGTAAAACCTCTGTATGAGGAGAGTTGCCAATTCCTATCAGTGTTGGCATATAACAACTGAGCCAGAATTTGTACCTCTAAGAATTTATATCATGTAATATGTACTATATGTCTAACTATGTGACTATAAGTGTATATACACATCAGACTATTCAGCATATACTACTCTTAATAACAAAAGGCCGGGAGCAGTGTTAAGAAATAGAGATTAATTAAAGATATACTAGGTAGTTGTACCATAATATGATCATTTTTATTGAAAAAATATTCTTGTAAAATATACATACATATAAGAGACAAATATATATTTTTAAGATATGTATTTCCAAGAAATTGCAATGTAACTTTTTATCTGAGTGGCAGAATTTTAACTTATTTTCTTCCACTTGTTTCTAAAGATTTTCCAATTTTTCTTCAATGCTCATTTACTATAATAACGGGGGGAAGCAACACAAGTTTTATCTGTAGATTAAAGGAAGCCAAGTAGTAACACTTGCTGTTAGGTACTGCCTGCATAATGTATGTAAATGTGCTTGTCCGTTCATAGCATGCATTCTTAGCATCACTTTAAATTCCATGTTTCATCTTGTAAGGCAGAATAGATGTTTTCCCTTTACCCTGTTTTGACCACTATGTTAAAGAACTCAATACTGCAGCCATTAGTAGTGTGACATTCTGGCCTTAAGTCAGCAAGTCGGGACAACATCCCACTTAACAGAAAGGTGGGAGGAAAAGACTGCAACGGCAGGGAGTGCCATAAAATACTGCATTTATCCTGCAAGCACCACATCTGCAGGGCTATCCTCTGCAGGAAGCAGCAGTTACTTTTGTTTCATCAACGTTTCTTTATTCCCCAGAAGTGTGTTATATTATCTGTATATACACAAAGATCACTGCTTAAGTCAGCCAGGAAATTGGGACAGGAAACCACGGTGAATGTTTAAAGACTTGGATCTTATCTAAATAACTATATCTCATCAGCAAGCACTTGGAAGTAGAGCTTGCCATAGACACGCCATCTATGAGCTGCACATTTACAGCTCTAGAGCTGTATGGCCTTGAGCAGCCAGTGTATATGAGAAAAAAAATGTCCTGAAGTGTCAACTTCCAAGACAGTCCTAACTACAGTGAGAGGAAAAGACTTTGTATTTGTGATTGTGATGAGCCCCTTAAACATACTTCCATTGCAGTGGGGGCTGGAGAGATGGCTCAGTGTTTACGAGCCTAGCTGCTCTTCCAGAGGACCTGGATTCAAGTACCAGCACCTGCATGGCTTACGGTTTGTAACTCTAGTTCCCAGGGTACCCTATGCCCTCTATTGGCTTCTTTGGACACTGCACACATGTGATTCACAGACATGTCTGAAGGCAAAACATCCAGATACAGACAGATACATTTTTTTTTAATTTAATCCTCTATTACACAGACTTTGGGAGTTTCCCTAAATCCGTTATAAGGAATCAAAGATGCCTTTATCCTATATGTCGGTGGCTTGTGAAATTCTACTTAAGAGAGGAGTAAGGTGTAGTAAACTATAAGAAGAGAGTGAAGAACAAAGATTTCCAAGTGCTTTTGTCTCAACTTGCAGTGTTTGTTATTTTATTTCCTACTGTAGCAGAGTGAAGAACAAAGATTTCCAAGTGCTTTTGTCTCAACTTGCAGTGCTTGTTATTTTACTTTCTATTGTAGCCTATAAGAAACATATGTGTAATATGAATAAATAGTATACATTTACATATTTTATATTACTAAAAGTTTTCTGAAGCAATGCATATACAAACTATGGCACAATATGTTCTATATATAATGAACTATATAAAATGAACTATAACATATGTTCTAATCTATTCTTGCTATCTAAAATTCTACCCCAAGTCACACTTAAATTATTCTGGCAATCTACCATGACAAGGACATCTGATGCCTGCATGTGTGTTTCTGTGGAGATAGGAAGGGACTATGCTGATCCACACAGAATTTCCTTGATAGCCCAGATACAGTGTTTTTTGCCCCCCTCCACTGGATTCTTGAAAAAGATGAAAAGCTTGAGAAACTATGAGGCATTGCGGAAGTGCTCAGAATCATGACTTTTCAAAATCAAATATGGCTCCCATGGTAACTAGGGACCTCATTAAAGCTTTTGACTCTTCCTCACTCCACTTTCTGAAGCTTTTACAGAGTTGAAGAAGCTGGAAAGAGTTACCATAGGAAGAACTATTGAAGAGTTCGATGTTGAAGAAGGCGTAGTCTCCACTGGTCATGCCATGTCTGTGCACTGCCAACATGATGCTCCGAATAGTGTCACCACTGGCACACATGATAACCACTGGGGAGAGAAACAGTGTGTGAGTCACCCAAACACATCAGGCTGAGAGCAGGCCAAAACAACCAGCTGACAATGGATGCAGAATGGGCAATTTATATAGTCTTGAATATCTCCTCATAAACTACCTAATTCAGGGTCACCATTTATCCACAGGAAATACATTCCCAGATCCCAGAGCATCTCCAAAAGTTGGGTAGAAAAACACACCATGTTTTTTTTTTTCTTAAACATGCATACCTGTGATAAAACTTAACTTCTAAGTTAGACACTGTGACAGATTAACAATAATAACTAATAATAAAACACAACAAAATTAGCTTAAAACTTATCAATTGTTTGCTTGCAGAATTTTTCATTCAAAGTTTTCAAATCGCATGGCTATGGGTAGCTAAGTCCTAAGATGAAACCATGGATAAAAGAGAACCACATAATAATTTTAACTTAGAAAACAACACCATACCCAAGAAATAGGAACCAGCATCACTGTGAGAACACAGACACAGTAGCTTCCTGATGAAACACACAGAAGGCCAGAAATATATACAAATGGGCAAAGTGTATCTGTTCAGGAGGAAGCAGCTACAAATCCAACATAGAAGATGGTAGGATAAGTGACCCATCAATCCTTCTTAAAATACAAGTGAAAGATCTTCTGTAAGGACATTATGAGACAGTGGTGACATTTGACTTAAGGTCTGTAGCTAGATAGCAGAATATGTTTCCATTAAAGCTATTGTTTTCAGGACTACTACTGCAGCTATTTATGTAAGCAGCCTGTTCTTAATTGTCTTGAGAAAGCTGGGGCTGTGACTCTGTTGAGTCCTTGCCTAGAGTGCCCACAGCTATGTGTTTGATCCTCAGCTCCAGATAAAACTGGATACAGTGGCGTACACTTGTAATCTCAGCACTGTGTGGGTCATCCTTGAAATCTGGAGCCACAGTGTGCTAAATGAGACTTTGTCTCAAAAAAAGAAGTATGTTTAATGCTATAAATGCATGATCCTGTAAATTGTTCTCAAATTTTTAATAACAATCTTTGTATTGTCTGTAATTTTGTACATGTGTATATTTACACAAACACATATCAATAGTGTTCATATCATAGTGGTTCATGTCTGTAATCACAGAACTTTGAAGACAGAGGTAGAAGAATCATGAGTTCAAGCTACCTTGGTCTATATAATGAGATCTTGGCTGAAAAATAGATATCAATAGACAATGGATGGATGGGTAGATGATTACTAAGCCATGCCTATGTACACACATACATACACACATACACAGGAAATCAGAAGAGACAGAAGAAAGTGGAGATATGTGAAATGTTATTAACATTTATGTATTAACAGTTGATGAAATTTGAATGAAAATTATACTGCAGGAAGAGCTGGGCATGGTGGTTTATGCCTGTAATTCCAGTACATGGGAGACTGAGGCAGGAGGATTGCCATGAATTTCATGCTACATAGTGAACTCTAAGCCACCTGAGCTGCATTGTGAGACCCTGTCTCAAAAACAAAGCAAATGAGAAAAGACAGGAGAATGATGACTCTTTCTCATCCTTAATACCACAGTAAACACACTGTCTGGGGAAAGCAGAGTGGATGGGTCCACTCCGCCATGGGTATACACCTTCTTCTGTGTTCATTTACAGACACACAGAGGAAAAAGATATTAAGATCTCTGCACACACACACACACACACACACACTTTCCATAGTCTCTCTGTAGTCCCACTGTCAAATATAAGAGATTGCTGCCTGTGACCTAAGAGTGACACAGGATAAAGTGGGGACTTGGCCACTGTCCAGTCAATCTGCTTGGTCTTGGCTCACAGGCCCCATGACTAGGAGAACTGTATTTGCCTCTCACACAGAGTATGAGGAGACCCACAGAAGCCTAGATGCTGTAAATTGCCTTATCAGGATATACAGCAGCCCACTGAGATGTGTGTGCTCTTTGTAAAAGTATGGGTGCTAAAAGACATAAAACAAACTGCATGTTGTGCCATAACAGCCTTGGCATTGTGCATGGAGGTCTGGGCTCCTGCTGATATTCCATTCACTATACACATTAGCTCAGAGTGTCGGGCTATGACTGACATTTTTAACTACAGAAAGGCTTTCTGCACAGGGTAACAGCACCTTAGAAAACATGGTTTTGAGACAGTGCAAAACTCCAGAATCCCATAACAGTGAGAGTAGGTGTTGTTTCTTTGGGCAATATAATTATACATTTGGGATTTTAGAAAAATCCCAAGATGTCTCAATAAAGAAGCTCTCAAAGAAACTCCTAATTACTAACTTGGGCCCTCGTTTTAGATCAAGCCCCTTCAATGGGAAAAATCACAGGCCGGGTGTCTCGTAAAATAGCCAACAAGAGGCTAAGGCAAGTTCAAAGAGCATGGATTCCAAGAGTGGACATCTCCAGGGGCGCTAGGAAGCTCTGATTGGCTGTCTACTAAGGAGCCCTTATCAACTTGCATCACATGTTTAAAGTTCAGTGTCTCTCAATAGCCACATGTAGAAATTGACTCCATTGGCACATCGGGCACATAGCCTACATATTTATAAATAGATTGTCAGAACTGTGGGTTGCTTAAGTTCCATGGGCAGGAGAGGGCAGAATGGTCATGAATATGCTTGTGTAGATATCTCCAAATCTAGTCATGCTAACTGGGAAGCCAAATTATAAGGGGGGGGGGGGGAGATGCTACAGAGGAGTAAATATGAATCAGAGAAAAGCCGGTGGGGTGATTCAAGTACCCAAAGGCACCAGGTGTTGAACCTAAGCATCCATCTGAGAGCCAAACCTGCCCTAGGATAGAACAAACTGTACCCTGAAGCCAAAGAACTAGCATCCCAAAGTTCTGGACCGCCTGGCTTTCAGGGTACTTCTGTTTTTATGTTCCTGCTCCACCTCTTTATCTTCCCTCTCCCCCTATTTCTACCACTGCTTCTGATGAATCTTCCCATCGTCTACCTGCATAGGCTTTGGTTCTTCTCAGGCTTGCCTATTTTGTGTGGAGTAAATGGTTTACTCCCAAAAGGAAATCCTCTTACCCAAGGTCAGGGGTGCAAGGCATTGTTTCTCTCAGATGATCCAAACCCAATACACACATCATCATCTACTTTCAGCTCAAGTAGAAGCAAGAATTTAACACCACTACCAACAAAGCCCTCAGAATAAAGAACCCTAGTATTTTATGGTGTGCTCCATCTTTTAGGGTTGTCTCACTCATACTTAATTGAACTTTGGCTACTTTTAGCAGACTTCCTTTTATACGGTTTATCAAAGGCTTGTAATGTTTTCCCTGAGACAGTTTTCTGTTCTCACTCACATTCCATTGTTTTACACAGTAAACAAATTACATAGTTAATAAGCACAAGTGGCATAAGCAGATTCAGTACAGCTCTTAAGAAAAATGTGGAAGTGTATGGAAGCGTGTGTCACACTCAAGAAAACACATGAGCTCCCTGGACCTCCCAACAATAAGTAAGATTTACAGAGGAACAGGGTCTGCCAATCCTCCTGCACATGTGGACATCAAGGCAGACAGCTTTTTGTGTATCAATGTGCATCTCAATACATAAATAAGAATTGGTTTTTCTGTTTGTTTGTTTTAGACAGGGTCTTTCTGTGTGACCCTGTACTGTCCTAGAACTCACCATATAGAACAGACTGTCCTCAAAATCACAGAAATCTACCAGCCTCTACCTTCCAAGTGCTGAGATTAAAGGCATGTGCCACCAGACCTGGATTTAATATATAAATATTTATTTGAGATAAAAAATATTAAAGTTAAGAAAGAAGGGTTAATGACATGATACTAAGTACTTCTTAGTAGCCTGTTTTGGGGGTTTTGTTTTGTTTTGTTTTTGTTTTAGCCTACCCCACTTTAATTTGTGATATTAGATGTTATCCTTTCCCATCTGGGTGCCATACTATCCCCATAGCTGGTTTTTCATTACTGTAGCCTGTTCTTGTAATCAAGGGGTTAAGTGCACAGGAGTGACTTCAAATGTTAATTAAGAAAGATAAACACATTCCCAGTGGTACCTTCACGTACATAAGAGGTTCTCCTTTCCCCACCCTTGGGTCTTCGTTCAGACAACTACAATGGGTTAGCATCTCCCATCTCTCAAAGGGCTTTCATTTGTCATCTCACTAGTCCAGCAAGAGGGAAAGCAGTGAGTTTTCTTATTGGTGAGTCTGGGAGAGCAGTCAGGGTATGATTGGGCTCTTTGTTCTCCTTTGAGATATCTCCACTTACACACCGCACACTTAGGCTACAGTTGACATGTGGGTAAAGGGTTGCTCCTGGAAAAGAACTTTCAGGTAAGTGACACTCTATGGTTTGTGGCTGTTGCTATCTACAGCTGATGGTGAGAAGACCCTTTGGTAGCATTTTTAAATGCATGTTCTCCAACTAGTTTACAGGAACAATAAAAAATGGCATTTTCCATAATCTCCACCTGACTTGTTTGTTTGTTTGTTTTTGTTTTTCAAGACAAGGTTTCTCTTGTCTTGGAGCCTGTCCTGAAACTCACTTTGTAGCCCAAACTGGCCTCAAACTAACAGACACTGCCTCAAACTCACTGATATCCACCTGTGTCTGCCTCTGAAGTCCTTGAATTAAAGGTGTGCACCACCACTGCCCAGCTCTCCACCTGACTCTATACTCATGTTCCAAGTAGGTCTATACTTAGACACTGGAGAAAGAAGCTATTGCATGGAGGTGGAGCAGAGTATGTTATATGGTGCATCAGAAAGTGTGATCATAGAAATGAAAAATGCAAAAGCAGGGGCTTAGTGGTTAAGAGCACTTACTGTTGCAAAGGACCCAGGCTTGATTCCCAGCACCCACATGGAGACTCATCACCTCCTCCAGCACACATGTGATGCACAACATACATTCAGGCAAAACACTCATGCACATAAAATAATAAAAATGAATCTAAAGAGCTTTTTAATGTGATAGTAATTTTGGAGAGCAGCCA